CTGACTGGGGACTGGTGAGGGGGGGAAAAGGAGAGGGGAGTGGGGGGAGCTACAGGAGGGTGGGGCAGAGGCGAGGGAGCTACAGGAGGGTGGCAGCGACCTACTGGCTCACGGATTCATGAGCAGGGCTATTAGTGTATAATAATACATACCATATAAACCCACATATAACATATGTCATATATGCATATGTTACATACAAAGGTTATATATGTGGTATAAATACATATGTTATTTATGGTATACGTAATTTTTTGGAAAATGGAAATAGCCGTATTGTTGTGTGTTCGTTTCTTTACTTTTCTTCTGATGTTAGAAGTGACGCGATGTCTGAAGTGGGGGAAGCCTCTGGGGGGACAGCAGGAGCTGCTGAGGGAGAGGGAGCTGACTTCTCTATGGCCCCCTTTTGTCTCTTTTGCGTTTTCTGCCATGAGCACTACCGATCAGCTTTATTCAGAAAGTTAACAAATATTTTTAATTTTTATTGTTGACACTATTACAGATGTCCCCATTCCCCCACCCCCTTTGCCCACCTGCCCCCTTCCCCTGGCCTCTGCTGTCTGTGTCTGTGCGTATGCGTGCAGGTTCTTTGCTAATCCTGACACCTTCTTTCATCCAGTCCTCTCCTCCCCCTCCCCTCTGGCAGCTGTATTCATGCCTCTGTTTCTATTTTGTTCATCAGTTTAGTTTGTTCGTTAGATTCCCCATATGAGTGAGATCACATGGTACTTGTCTTTCTCTGACTTATTTCTCTTAGTATAATGCTCTCCAGGTCCCTCCATGCTGTCTCAAAGGGTAAGAGATCCTTTTTTACTGCTGCATAGTATTCCATGGTGTAGATGTACCACAGGCTTTTTATCCACTTCTCTACTGATGGGCACTTGGGCTGTTTCCAGACCTTAGCTACTGTAAACTGTGCTGCTATGAACACAGGGGTGCACATATCCTTCCTGATTGGTGTTTCTGGTTTCTTGGGATATACACATAGAAGTGGGATCACTGGGTCAAATGGCAGTTCCATATTTAATTTTTTGAGGAAACTCCATACGGTTTCCACAGTGGCTGCACAGTCTGCATTCCCACCAGCAGTGCACAGGGGTTCCCTCTTCTCCTCATCCTCATCAGCCCTTGTTTGTTGGTTTATTGATGGTAGCCATTCTGGCAGGTGCACGGTGACATATCTCATTGTATTAACATAGATTTTAAATAGATGCAAGTTCATTGCACACAAGTTTAGCGCCACAGAAGATGAGGACAGAGACCCCCACTAAGTCCCCCCCCACCGCCGTCACCCTGGGGGCTGCCCCGGGCCTTCTCCTGCGTGTGCACAGGGCACACCTCATGCGACCTGCCTGCAGCCTGCTTTCTTCTGAGCCCTGGCGGGGTGCAGGGCCCGGCGCACTTGATGAAGGCGCGAAGCACTCGCTGCCTCTCCTGCGCCCGCCTCTGCCATCACACGGGCAGCAGAGCCCTTTTAAAAATTGATTTTTAGAGAGAGAAAGGGGGGGTCCCGCACCGCCCCTCCCGGGAGCCAGACCCGCCCCTTTTGGGAAACAGGCGGGTTCTCCCACCGAGAGACACGAACCGAACCGGCGTCTCTGCTATAAGCAGCGGACGCGCTTTCTTCCCGGAAGCTTGGAAACGCTGTGATGCCGTCGCCCTGACGGGGACCGCAGGGCCGGGCCTGCCTTTGGCGGCTCCGCGGGGCGGCCGGTGGCTCTCCGGGCC